CATTCTGCCGCCTTTCAGAGTTAAAGTGAAGGGGGGAGGCGGGGGGCACGGTTAACAGCTGTAAGCTTAAACTTGATGACATAAGTCCAGAATGAAACAGAATTGTCTTCAGCAAAAAATATTTCACTCAGTGTAGGTTTAAGGCTTCCAGGAACCACACCTATGGTCCTAGGCTACGAGGCCCTGTCACGCCCTTTCTCATATCGACCGACTGCTGACGACGTGGAGGGTTCCTCTGCTTTTGACACAGCAAAGGCGTATCATGGTCGCATCTCTGGTTCTTCGGAACGTTCTCGTGACTCTGAGGTCTCCTCCTCGTATGGTCCTTCGGATGTAGATATTACCCACCATGGGCGCCATGGCCGCCGCCAACATTCACAGAAGCATCCTGCTTCTATCATTCACATACTTTCCCCCACGAGCGACACTTTTTCTCCTAAAAACCGCAAATGACATTCCATTTTCAATTATGAGCCATGCCTTACGAGTTTTTTCACTGTCTGCTCTTCTTGATCAGTTACACTGCTGGCTCGTGTTAACTGAGTGTGAGTGTATTACTTGAAACAGCAGAGTAGTCGCCTCTGAAATTGAGTCTACGACTACTTGAAATGTTCGGCTGTGCCGATGCATTTCTTAAATCTTATGTACCAAGAGGGATTTCAAAGACGTTTGCCTATATTTCCTTTAATAAACTTGACTTGACAAGCTCTCAAAATAATGAGACATCAAGAGCAAACGCTAACTTAAAAATGAGGCCTCTCCACAATCTCCTTAAGCTACGCGTACACAATTGAATCAAGTTTTAACTACCAAACTTGCTAGAAGTACGGTTGCTCGCATGTCATACGATTAGCTAATTGACGCAATTTCCTCATTGGTGTTGGTAAGCGACATGTTGATCACTAAACTGTTCGGTCCTGCCACTGGAAGCGACAGTCACCGTGGCCTAGCCAAGCACCCGCTAAAAGCAACGTTCCAAAGAATAGTGAGAAGAGAGGAGGGTTGCGTTTGTAAAGTTGCCGCAAACCAGTAAATCATGACACGAGCAGCTCACGGCTAACGCGTTTGTCGGTTCCCGTGATAAGTTCTGCCTCGTCAACTGAGTCGCGAACTAACAGCTGGCATCATTTACTGCTGCTGCATGTTCCGCCATCCGTGTCACAATAAGGTGCTACTAAGTGGGTTAACTTTAGTCACTGAGTTGTAGGTGATTCCCGGTCTTAAGACTATGCGCCCGCAGATTGCTGGCAGTAAATAGATACCACCGATTAAATGAAACGCCTAGTTAGCCCCACGTCCCGCCGCCCGCATCAGAAAACCACTAGAAGTTGCGAACCAAAATATCAAACATGCAGTGCTGGGTTGAAAAATACACACTGGTCACTTCTTAAATCAATTAAGGATAGAGAAAGTGAAAGGTCACAAGAATAGCGACTGTTGCCTACAGAACTTACTCGGCAGACGAGCAATCACAAAGAGGGCACAAATAGGTGACTGGTTGGGATCAAAAGCCAAGTCGGTGAAGGGGTCGACACAAACTGCCCCCTTTGGTGAGTTAGAACTTCCTGTCCCTGTGGATTCCTCCTCCTGCGACGATCCCGTCATAGTCGATGCGGGTGAGCTTAAATAGGAAAGCTTGCCGCCAGTGTACTGAACGCCAAAGTTGGGTGATCGGTTCACGTCGCTGGAGAGACGGGCGAGCACCCTGTGCGCTTGTTGAGCGAGGGCAAGCTGCTCAGCTGAGAGGGATATCACGGCGCGCTGGACAAGTCGCACCCTGCACATACCACCTTGCAAGTAGAGTGGTATGCGACAGACGAATTTGGACTGTAACAAAAACAAAACACATTGAAAATTGGAAGCTAATAGAGGCAACACCCAGTTACGTTAAATAAATAACCTCAAAAAAAAACGGCAGCGTTGAGAACTTCTTGTGACCCGGAATTCATGCGGATGGCATCCCTCTATGATATTCAAGAAAAGCGATGGTGCTCCGTAAAGAATACTCATGCCCGTCATGCTTCAACGCATTAACTATTGGCTCTCACCCAGCAGAATGAGCAGGATTTTTAGGGAATAAGTGGTATGTGCAGGGTGTGAGGACATCCCATAGTCCAGAGAAAATACAGCGGCAGAATTACAGTGGCGGTTAGTCGTTGGAGAGCAAGAGTGGCGAGAGTAAACTTGCGCTTTGTCACTAGTCAATTGCTGTTGCTTTGCCAAGGGCGACTGTGGTACGTTTAGAAGAACTGATAGCACGCATC